TAAAGTTTAAAGCTTAAAAAATAATGTAGATCAATAAATCTATAAAAACTTGAAAAACTTGAAAATTGACGGTCTAAAAATGTGTTGCAAAATACACTATTTCTAAAACTTGAAATCCATTTTTTCTCATGTCCATGCATCTTGATGTAGGGATGATCAATTTGAGAATATTTGGGCGTCAAAACAAACTCTCTTCTTTTGTTTTTGATAAATGTTATCAAATTTTATTGCACTAGAATACGGTTACATTACTAACTCATCACTCATTACATCAAAACAATCTCTTCTAGTGCAATTTTTTAGGTAGGCTCAAATTTGATTATTTATCATATTAAAAAAAAATCACAAAAGAGAAACCCCTATTTTTGTCAAATCACAAAAAAAGAAAATCATATAAAAAAAAATCATCTGAAATGTACATAGGAGTCGGCCATAGGAGTCGGCCGACTCATAGAAACCCCCTCGCAAAGTACATGATATATTTTTGCAATTTATTCCTCCTTTTATTAGGGGTAGTTTTTTCTTCGGTCATGGGATTTACGGTCTACAGTTCTACGCGGTTCACTGAAAATGTTGGGTTCATTTTGTACTTTACGAAAAGCACAAAAGAGACTGTTCATTGAGAGATACTTTTGCAAGTCCTCAAAGAGGAGTACATTTAAGAATAAAGGAATTCAAAAGTGTATTAAATGATCCTATGTATAGGTTGGTGAGACTTAAATTAATGGTACTACGGCTGCGTGATCTTAGTTGGAAATTTTTAAAAGGGAATAAATGTCAAATACCAAAAAAAAAAAAAAGAGGACTTCAAAAACATTCTTTGCACCATGAGTTCAAGACTTGGTCTCTTTGGCTTGCCGGCTTAGTGCCGGCACAGGCAAAGCTTTCTTATTGGAAACGATTCTCACAATCTAGAGAGAGAGAGGAGCCAAAAAAATGCCAGTCTAGAGCGAGAAACAGCCAAAAAAAGTTTAGACAGAGATGGGAGGAGGCAAAATGGGCCTGTTTTGAGAGAGAGGATATAGACAATGACACCCATTTAGAGAGAGAGGCCAAAACTTTTGAGAGAGAGAGAAGCCAAAGAATGCCAGTCTAGAGAGAGCCAAAAAAAATGGTCTATAGAGAGAGGTGGAAGGAACAAAATGGGCCTGTTTTTAGAGAGATGATAGACAAGGACACGCATTTAGAGAGAAAGAGAGGCTAAACCCACCTAGAGAGAGAGAGAGGACAAAACCTTTTAGAGAGAGAGAGAGGACCACAACATCAATGTGGACTAAGTGAAGAGTACAAAGGATAAGAAAAACAAAACAGGAGAGTACAAAGAAGGATGATAGATAGCCAGAGTGCCTAAAACAGTTCTGACCAACGAATACAAAGAAGAAATGAAAAATTAAGAGAGCGTGGTACATAGTTTAAGGGGAACGCAGGTTGGGCCTGATTAAATGAGAATAAGTTACACCAAAAAAAACAAAACATAAACATACATGAATTACACAAGTAGAACAGCTGCTTCTTATAGAGAGTGGGATTGTTTATTGCTATTAGATGTGGCAATCGAGTCGGGTTGACCTAACGAGCTCGAGTCTGGACTTGGGTATTGGATTAGTTAGGTCGGGTCTCGGTTCATTTGACGTGGATCCAATCCAGGTTGGGTCTAGGTCCGAATCTATCCTGGATCTTAAAGGGTTGGGTTGCCCGACCACACACATGTATATCAAAGCAACGTGTGTGTATATGATAAAAGGATACTTGTAATTTACTGATTAAGTGGGTCGGGTCTGGGGTCAATGACCTGGAATAGACTTAACTCAGGTTAGGGTTCAAACTAGATCTAGTCAACCTAGGTCAGGTAAGGGGTGGCAATGGGCTGGGTTAGTCCTGGCCTTGGCCTACCCCTTGTTAGGGCTGGCCTGGGCCAAAAACATAAGAAGAAAAAAAAAAAGAAAAAAGAAAGAGGGCCAAGTAGAGCCGAACAGGGCTAGCAATGGCCCTCGGGCCACAGTTAAGGCTCTACTTCTTTATGGCTGGGCCACTCAGCCCGTTGCCAACCATAGGTCCTGGTCGACCAAGACCCAACCTGGCCTGTTTATGCCAATGCTTATGAAAAGTAAGAATTACTAAAGAGGGAGAAAATAAAAAACAAGGGTGGCAATAGGCTAGGTCCAGGCCTGCCCGACCCAAAAAACCTAGAGTTTGGGTTGTAGAATATGGCTCGAGGAACGGGCCAAGGCTTGGCAACCATGGACCAATGTATGTGCTTAGGGCTATGACATGGCCACCTACTTTTGTCAGGCCCGACCCTTGGCCAGGCCGAGCCATGGTTTGGGCCTCTTTGGCCAGGCTTGGTCAGGTTGGGATTGGGCCGGCCATATATGGACTATTCAACAACAACCATTTCTTGACTCGAGAGTATGACAAGAGAAAAACATAAAACTTTTCGTTTTCATAATCATCATCATCTGAGCTTTATCCTAACTATTTCGCTTTCATAATGTTTCCCGTTAATTTATGTCAAAAGCCTAGCTTATAACTTGAGGGAATGCACTTGAGATCTCTTTGAAGAAACCAAATAAATCTACTTGATGATACTTGTTGTTTACTTCATCTTTGTATCAATTTCAAAAGGAAGCACAAACTAAAATGTTTCATAAACAGGATGCATTTTCAAAGAAATCAAGAGAGACAGCATGACTAAGATTTGCCTCATCACTGCATTTCAAAGAAATCTATAGAGAGCATCACTCATCCGGCCGCAATAAGTGACTTATGGTCATTAGGGTTCATAATCTAAAGTATATGCTGGGTTTTTCGATAAAGAGTGTTGTGTGCACTTGAGGGGAAAAAAGTTTACATTTCTTGATTTCACCTCGAGAAGAGACTCAAAAGAAAATAGAAATTCTAGACATCTCTATTTATCAAAAAATAATAATAATCTAGATATCTCTCTCTTTCCCTCTCTCTTTTTTTAGGGTGGCAATGGGTCAGGTTAGGTACGAAATCTTAAAAAGAAAAATAAAATAAAAAATTATGGGGTCCAAATATATACATGTATTATGTTAAATATATACATGTATTATTTAAATATTATAATTAAAAAAATATAAAATTATATTTATTTAAATATTTATTAAATATTATTTATATAATAACACTATCCAAGTTGGGTCCATATGGACGCAGACCGGAATAGTATTCGAGTCTAATATTTAGACCTAGACCTGCCGAATCCAATTCTTGGAACCCTACCCAAACCCGACCCGCTGGATCCAATTCTTGGACCCATGCCCAAACCTAGGTCGGGTCCGGAGATCGGATCCGGGTCCATTGCCATCCCCTACTCTCTCTTCTATTTTAACTTGTGAATGGAAATTTGATTTGGGGAAGTACAGAATGAAAGTTTTACATTTGATATAAGAAGATCACATTAATCTTGACCATTGGATGTGACATTAAGTGGTTGCAATTATTCCATTAACCAAATTTAAACTTCAAAAGAAAAAAAATTAAACTTTTTGACACATCCAAACTATCAAATTTCACATTAAATAGTCGTAAAAAATTGTGACCACTTTGTATAAAAGATAAATAGTCTCATTATATACAATCTCATTTGATTTTGAGCTCTTGAAACTCTAGATCAAGATTATAGAAATGCTAGATCTTTGATTGTCCCAAATGATGTGTCTAGAGTCTAGGGTCCATTCATTTGCCGGACTATAAAGTTCAGACTCTAGGCCCAAAACATATTTCTTTTTTGTCGTTTTAAAAATTTATGAATAATTTCATTTAGAGAACGTCTAGAAGTTGGCCACATCACACAACGTCTCCAAACACTAATTGTACCTCCTTCCTCGTACCATTTAATCTTATCTTCATATATTCACACATTTAAAAGCAAAAAAAAGGATTTAATGTGAGGGAGAGTGAGAAGGTGGGGAGGAGTGAATTTTGGAGAATCCACGTATACAAAATTGCATATAACAAAAGGTAGAGTGAAGCAACTACAACACAAAAGAGAGAGAGACATTATAAATTCAAGAATATCATATTGGTAAGAGAGAGAGGCATAAAAAATCTCAATTTCATGTTTAAAGAGGAAAAATGGCTTGATAAGATGGCAGCTCTATCAAAATAAGTAAAGTCTTATTTTATAATTCATTAAAATTTACAATTCAAACATTGGAAAACTTTTACATACGATTATCTTGACTTAAACATATTAGTTGTGAAAAAAAATTAAGATTTTAAACCCTAGATGTCATGTATATTGTAAGAAATTATCTAGCGTATATTTCACCCTAAAATTAAATGTTCATATATCTGTAAAATCTATTCCACTTTTTTGAGTTTCAAATTTTATTATTTCCGTTAAGAATTAATTTATATCCATCATGAAGATTTCTTTGTCGAAAGTGCTTTCCAGAGGATTTGAGGAGAAACTTTATGCTGCATTCATAAAGCCTCGGCCCGATAGAAACTTCATGAGAGAGAAAGAAGCATTTTAGAGAGCAACAATATCAGCTTTGGACATAAAGACAGGAGAGAAAGAAAGAGAGGCACACAAAATCTCTACAAATTCCAATACATAATTAGAGAGAGAGAGGCATGGAAATCTGAATAATCTCATCTTTGTTAATAAGTGTAACAAAACTAAAAAAAAAAAAAAATATAATATATATAATATATATATATATATATATATATATTAGTATTATACGTANTAGCGTACATTGTTATTAGCTAGTAGAGTATACT